CCAAGACCCCCCAAAAGGTCTCTGTGAATCCCCCAAATACTTCACCCATCAATAAGCAAAAAGCAGCTTAAAAAAAACTATGCCCAAATTCCCAAATATTGTTTATAAATATTTGTTTACATTTAAAGGGGAATATGACAAAGATGAATATTTTGCATTTGAATGGATCTTGGTTTATTGATACAAATTTAATGTCAATTTTGTTAAATGTATTTCTGCTCTTTTTTAAGGTATTGTGTTTGTGTGACTCATTTAAAAATGTACTGTATGGTTAAGAAATACAGATTAATAGATAGTCATCTATAATAGTCAAACTTGTAGTCAGGCTAGTTAGGTTTTCTAGATGAACAGATATATATTTTAGATGGATAGGTATTCCCCAAATCTTTCAAAGACATACAAAATATGGCATTTAAAATGTTTTAAGAATTTAGGACTTTTCATGATATTAAGACATGTCTGTTTCTAGCAGCATTAATTGCTTCAGAGAGGTTAATGGGCACTGAAAAAACTCATTATAAAATTTGCCCTCAAGCTGGGTGGTGGTGCTTTAATCTCAGCACTTGGGAGGCAGAGGTAGGCAGATCTCTGTGAGTTTGAGGTCAACCTGGTCTACAAGATCTAGTTCCAGGACAGGCTCCAAAGCTACAGAGAAACTCTGTCTCAAAAAAAAAAAAAATCCTTCAATGTGACAAGGCTAGCCATTTGGCCAAGAAACTGCCCTTGCCTGGACTGCTTGATTAGATACACTGTATAAATTGGACATGCAGGATCCACAGAAAAAGGACTGCTGAAGTTGTCTAAAGAAGGTGAGATAGTCTTTCATGGTTACTGCTTCATGAAAGAGTCTACCAGACATTCTGCAGGATACAGAATAAAATGACTGACAAACTGCCAATATAGGCAAAACTGTCTTTGAAATATTTTGCTTCATGGAAAAGTCTGCCAGACACTATGGGCCTTTAGGCTGAAGATGGATGCTCCAGTGATACAGAAGAACTTTGGATGACTGTCCAGGTAGCAAGATGTCTCTGTCAACTCCAGAGTTTTGGAAGTTGCTTACAATGCACTTCCTGTTAACTTAGTAATATTATATCCTTTAATGGAGTTGAAGAATAGATAGTTATAATTATAGTTTTCCTTAGTTATGATAAAAGTTGAAGTAGATATAAATATTGTAATTGTAATTCTTGCTTAATACCTGTTTTGTTATATGTAATTTTACTATGTTAAAGTTAAAACTTTCCTTTTTATTTAGACAGAAAAGAGGAGGTGATGTGGGTTTCCCCTCTGTATGCTATGAATATGTTTTATTACCATTGGTTAATAAAGAAGCTGCTTTGGGCCTATGGCAGGGCAGAATAGAGCAAGGTGGGAAATCCAAACAGAGATAGAAGAGAAAAGAAGACAGAGTCAGAAAGACACCATGTAGCTTCCAAAGGAGACAGATGCTGGACGGAACCTTACTGGTAAGCCACAGCCACATGGCAATAAGATTAATAGAAATGGGTTAATTTAAGATGTTAGAGTTACTTAATAAGAAGCTATATGCTGGGTGGTGGTGGCGCACGCCTTTAATCCCAGCACTTGGGAGGCAGAGGCAGGCGGATCTCTGTGAGTTCGAGGCCAGCCTGGTGTATAAGAGCTAGTTCTAGGACAGGAACCAAAAGCTACAGAGAAACCCTGTCTCGAAAATTCAAAAAATAAAGTAAAATAAAATAAGCAGCTATATGTCAAACAGTGGTGTAAAATATAGTTTCTGTGTGATTATTTTGGGTCTTGGCAGCCAGGAAATGAACAATGGTCTCCAGCTACACCTGATATGGATGGTCTGTGTGTTGGGAAAGGCTGTATGGATGCTGGCATGGCATGGTGACCTACAATGTGGCAGCAGTAACTGATGAGGGCCCAGAGACATGAAAGCTGTCTTTAGGAAGTGGGAGAGTTCTGTCAATTTTTGAAATTACTTAGTTAACAATAGAAGGGTTGAATTTTTATCTTAGCCCCTGACTAAATGAATAATTTTAAAAACATTTTTGCTGACTTAGTTTTTTATTACTAATACCCTTTTTGTTGTAATTATAGTATTAAATCATCTAAAAGGCTTTCAATTTAAAAGTATGAGAAACAAGATCTTAGCAATATTTGAACAGAAATAATAACATGATGTTCTTGGTGAGGATATGAAATGGGGGAAGAATATGTCCTATCACTGTGTGATGTCACAGATACTGCCCCCTCCTTTAGTGGTCACTCTTTTTTTTATGATTTATTTATCTGTATTTTATGTGCATTGGTGTGAAGGTGTCAGATCCCCTGGAACTGGATTTTCAGACAGTTGTGAGCTGCCATGTGGGTGCTGGGAATTGAACCCGGGTCCTCTGGAAGAGCAGTCAGTGCTCTTAACTGCTGAGCCATTTCTCCAACCCCTAGTGGTCACTCTTAATGGGTTTAAGTTGGTTTTTAGCACTTGCTTGTGGTTTGTTTGCCTTCTTTGAGGCAGGGCATCACTATGTAGCCACGGATGGCTCGGGATTCACTCTGTAGACCTGGTCCTGGACTTGAAAGACTTCCATTCTGAGTCTTCTGAATGACGAGACAACACAAAGAGCTTAGAGATGGAAAAGGAAGTGCGATGCACACAATGGTAAACAAAGTGCACTCAAATGTGATCAGGCTCTGATTTTCATACTTTTTTTTAGAATCTAGAAATATGTATGGCAGAGAATATCAAAAGACTCAGAGATGTTGAAATGTTTTGACAATGACACACACTTTGTGTTACTTATGCCTATCAATGAGATTGAGTCCCCAGAGTGCTGGGTTGGTTTTGGTTAATGCAGTATAAAACGAGAAACATTTCAAGTCCAATCCAACACATTTATGTGTAATTCAATATTCCAAGGCATTGACTACAAATCATTTTTTCATTTATTTTTTAAAACAAAAATTGAACTTAAAATTTTGATGAGATTTTTTTACAAGATTGTATAACAGACATCTACACTTAAAAAGGTGTTGGCCAAAGCAGAGTCATGTTTTAAACTAAGCAAGAGTGGAGAAGTCTTAGCACTTAGACACAGAGCACTCTAAAGAAAAAAATAGAAAACAAGTTCACTATTTGTGCCAGACAAGAGTAGAAAGGCATTTATACACAGTATCTAAGCTTCCGTTATCCTAATGCGTGAGTGTGCATAACAGTCACTGTCTATTTGAAGACCGCATGCTTAGAGCACCAACTGCAGGCTGCATATGAGAGGAGCATGCAGAGTCTTGCAGTTCCCTGTGTAAGAACCAATCGATCACATCAGCAATATCAGGTCATTCTTACCTTTAGTAGAGTCGGGTGAGTGGATAGGCTTGGTGGAGCGGTACTGGGATGTGGAGCCTACTGACTCCTCGGCAGAACTAGTCAGGAGGGAGTGCACTGGAGACTTCTTAGGAGAGGAATTGAATGAACGAGAGCCTGAAACCTTCACAGATGGACTTGCTAAGATTGTATAATGACAAGGGTAAAAGAATTAGCTAAAAATAGTGTAGTGCACTTATGAAAAAAGAAAAAAAGCCAAACCTTTCACAAGCAAAAGCCTCAATGACAGGAAAACAGAACTTCGCATAGCTATGAGTGGGTTTGGTTTTGATACTGCCATTCCCTGGAGACATCAGCATCCAGCATCTTGACCCTGACTCTCCAGCAAGCCTTGGCCTTGCACTGGGGTAGATAGAACCTTTGCTCCCTCTTGTAGTGTCAAGATTCTTAGGCTAAGCAACAGTACCTCCCCCCACCCCACACGCCTCTATGAGCTTGTGAATAGCCCTTGCAGGACTACCCAGCCTCTGATCATGGAAGTTAATCACAATTATGTAAACACCTTATGGTTTTGTTTCTCTAGAGAACCCTGGCTCTAGGAATGAGAATGTGTAGGACCCTGAGATCCAGAGTTCCTGATTCAAATCAGATTCACTGCTGATCTGGTCATAATGGCCTAGGATTGTCAACACCCTCAGCTGTCTAAAAAAACAAAATCACAACAAATTCTGTCTAGAAGAAAAGTCTCACCCCAGATGTACAATCTCCCACGCGGTGTCATATAATAAAAACTAATGGGGTATATAAGGAGAAATGATGGCATGGTAGAAAACCAAGAGAAAAATGCAAATAATAGATTAATAGTAAACAGGGAGACCAGACAATGGAGCTCTCGGGCAGGGACTTCCATAGGTCCAAACCATATGACTTCAAACACCAAATGTGTTCTACTTGTGGACAAAATGGATACATGGATAAGAACTGCTAAAACAAGCAAACAAACAAAAGGAAAGGGGGCTGGAGAGATGGCTCAGTGGTTAAGATCATTGCCTGCTCTTCCAAAGGTTCTGAGTTCAATTCCCAGCAACCACATGGTGGCTCACAACCATCTGTAATGAGGTCTGGTGCCCTCTTCTGGCCTGCAGACATACAACACACAGAATAGTGTATACATAATAAATAAATAAATATTTTTTAAAAAAGGAAAAACATTACAGCTACCAGACAAGAAGGGAAAAGCATGTTACATTTAAATGGGCATCAATTAAATTTACAGATGACTTCTTAGTAGACATAACAGAGACTCTCAGTGGGGTAAAAACTATTCACACTAAAAGTGTGGTGAAAAGCCAGGTGGTGGTGATAAACACCTTGAATTTGAGCACTTGAGAGGCAAAGACAAGAGGATCTGTGAGTTCGAGTTCAGCCTGGTCTACAGAGTGAGGGCCAAGACAGCCAGGGCTACATAGAGAGCCTCTGTCTCAAAATAACAAAACAAAAGCAAGCAAACAAACCCTGTCCTGTTTGATTTTTGTCAGCTTGACCCAAGCTAGAGTCATTTGAAAGGAAGGAACCACAGTTGAGAAATGCCTCCATCAGACTGACCTGTGGTCAAGCCTCGAGTGCATTCACATGATTGATGATTGAGGTGGGAAGCCCCAGATCACGGTAGGTGATGTCAACCCTGGGCAGATGTCCTGAATTGTGTAAAAAAGCAGGCTGAGCAAGTCATGAGGAAACCGCCTGTAAGCAGCACTCCTCCAGGGTCTCTGCTTCAGCTCCTGCCTGCCTTCCCTTGATGAAGGACTGTGCTGTGCAGCTGTAAGCCAAACAAACTCTTTCTTCCTCAAGTTGCTTTTGGTAACCATGTTTTATCACAGGAATAGAAAGCTAACTAAGACATAACCAATTGTGTTTATATTTATAGTTAACCTATGTTAACAAAATTGTATGAAAGTTAAAAGGATACCGAATGGGGTTAAAGTATTCTAAGGTATTCAGAATGTGTGAGAAAAGGCAAATGTTCTAATTTAGAGCAGTCTAAAAAGGCAAGAGCATTGCTATCGTGTCCTGGCTAATCATTAAGATAGCAGTGACAAAGGGCTAGAGAAATAGGTCAGTTGGCAAAATGCTTGTGCAAACAAGAGTCCCTGAGTTTGAAAAAAGTGGTAGCATGAGACTGAAATTTCAGCACTGGTGGTGCAGAGGAAGCAGGATCCCTGGGGGTTGATGGGTGGCCAGCCTAGTCTGATTTGTGAATTCCAGACCAGTGAAAAGCTATGTCTCATAACCAAAATGGCTGGCATCCTGGGGAATGACAATTAAGGTTGATCTCACTCTCCAGACACACACACACACCTGCATACACACACACAAGAGTCATACACACACATATATTGTCTTGATTTTAACTATAACAACACTCTTCTATAAATGAAGTTCTTACATTATACTTTACTTTTCCTTATTTACATTAGGACTGGCCAGATTTATAACTATGTTTTTATTAAATAACTGTCACTTTCATTCTTTCTCAATCACTTTCTCTTCTGTAAATCGTTACCACTCTTGCCTTTGCTTTCTAAAACTAACATATGCTACAATTTTTCTTCCTAGTTAAGTGTGCCTTCTGCAATTTGTTCTTTGGCTCTGTTTTAAGTCACCCTCTAGCAATTTTATTTCCCTTCCCCATCCTGAGTCTGAGTATTGTAACGTTTACAGTACTGAGATTTCTGTCTCTCCTGGCTCTTCTTTTCAGAAGCTTATTTTCATGGAAATCACTTTGTGGTGTAGGAGGTTCTTCTGTTCATGTGTTGCTTTCATTGGTTAAATGAATAAAGAAACTGCTTTGGGCCTGATAGGGCAGAACTTAAGTAGGCGGAGAAGACAGACCTGAATGCTGGGAAGAAGGGCAGAGTGAGAGACACTATGGATCTTCTGCCTGAGACAGACACTGGTTAGAATCTTGCTGGTAAGCCACAGTCATGTGGCGATACACAGATTAATAAAAATGGGTTAAATTAAGATGTAAAAAATACCCAATAAGAAGTTAGAGCTAATGGGCCAGGCAGTGTTTAAATTAATACAGTTTCTGTGTGGTTATTTCGGGTGTAAGTTAGCCAGACGGCCAGGACAAACAAAGGGCCTGCTCTCCTTTTAACAACCCCGTAATTCATTGGAAATGACATGGAGAGCCTCGGTTCTCCTTTTTATTCCAGCCATTCGATAAGCATTTATTTAGCACCTACTTTACATCCAGAAGGCTCTAAATACCTGGAGTCAGGAAACCAGAGACTGCAGGATTTTATTTCCCAGGCTGTGGTATGGTATACAGTAACAACACCAAGTAGTAAGTTATGTAAGAGGATGCCGTGTAATACAAGTGGAAAAGGCAGGGGGAGCTGGAAAGTGTGGGAAGGTTGTGATTTTTTTGAGTGATGGGAGTTAAGTGTTGCTGGAAAAGTGACCTTTGAAAGAGGATGAGGTGATTAGCAATGTTTGTGGCATTGTAGGTGCAAAAGCCCCAACAGGGAGACAGCATAGCAGGTTCAATTAACAGTTCCAGGAGGGTAAAACAGAGTGACCAAAATGGGGGGTGGGGGAGTGGGTGGTTGTAGGAAGTGAGAGAAGAGTTCATGGGGCTCAAACACTTCTGGCTTTGTTTTCTTGGCATGAGGACCCTCTGCAGATGTCATGGAAAAACTCACCTGTAGACGTGAATGTGAAGCAACTCGACGGATCTTCCAGGTCCCCTGCATGCAGTGTGACTGGCTCTCTGGAAACAAGAACAGTGTGCAGATTTATTCTGCCAATCTAACTGGACTGACAAACACCTAGGTGAGTATTAAGGTGCAGGGCTGAGGTGGGACGGCTGCGATGTTTCTACAGATGGTGAGACCATGCAGGCTCTGAATGGATGGTGTGGGGGGGGAGGAGGACGAGGCAGAGCCTGGTCACGAGAAGGAAGCCACTGGAAGCTTGTCTTTGGGATCCCTTCCAGCATTCTCCCCATCTCGATTCCCCCTCTGCATGAGATAGGCAACTATTCTCTGCCACTTGTGCCTCCTGCCATGGAGTTCTGGCCCAGCACAGCATGAACCACCATAGGGCAAAATAAAACTTTCCTCCTAATGCTGTTTCTTTCAGATAGAGAAGCTAATGTAAATGCCAATGCAAACATGTCCTTTCTTCGGCACAGCACTAAGATACAGGGACCAAGACAAGCCAATCCAGGTAAGTGTGACGGCCTGAAATATCAAGATGCCTAATCATAACTGTCAGTTGTAGGGTTCTGAAATACTGTAATGGGAAACATAAAGTTATATTATAGTTTTGTATTCAGTATTCAAGATTGACTTTTTTCCTTTTTGAGACAGGGTCTCTAGCCTCTACATCTACAGCTCCCTGTGTAGCTGAGGATGACTTCTGAACTTCCTACCTCCTGAGTGCTGAGATTAGAGATGTGTACCACCATGGCAGATTTATGAGGGGCTTTGAGCATGCTAGGCAAGTACTCTATCAACAACTGAGCTATTCACTAAACCATTCACTAAAGTGCTGTAGGACAAATTATATTAATAGAATCTTGGTAAGAAAATTAATTTTCCTATAACAATAATTATAAATACAAGTCATTTTCTTGTATGATCTGTAGGTTGCAATTTTAATTACTTATTTGAAAGTGAAGAAACCAGATGAGTGTGGATGCTCTTACCTGTAAGCCCTGCACTTGAGGCTGAGGCAGGGAAAGCTGAGTTTCAGGCCAGCCAGGGCTACATGACAAACAAATAACAAGAAAGGAAACAGAAGGAACCAGAGAGTAACAAGAACTCAGCATTAATAACACAAGTATACAAAATCCCATCAGTGGGTGGAAACAGTCTCAGTCTTCACAATGACTGTCACTAACACAGGGATGCCATTAGCTTTGTTTTATTCATAGAAGTAAGTATGCAGGACACAAATTAAAGAGATAAGTTATGTAAGTGCAACATTGGAGGTAACTATCAATTTCATAGTAATTTTGAGTAAGGGGTAGATTGTAAGACTGTAGCTACAGCAAAGGAAAATGGTATGAAGGCTGGCCAGATGGCTCAGCAGGGGAAGACACTTGCTGCCAGCCTTGATGACCTGAGTTCAATCCCTGGGCATGTAGTGCAGGAAGAAAACTGGCTCCCACAGGTTGTTCTCTGATACACACACACACACACACACTCTCACACACACACTAAATGTAAAACTTTTTAAAGAAAAATGACTTGTTCCACACTCTAGTCTCAGTCTCTGAAAGACATAGAGTGGAGTTCCCTGGAGGTTGTACTGACAGCTGATTATCACAGTATAGTTTATGGAAATGCAGATGTGAGAATCCAGATGTCTTTGACTCTGCTGGTCATTCAGTTATAAAGCAGAATCTTCTCAGTGACTTTTTCATAATAAAATAAGTATTGACAATTTCATTATTAAGAAACAGATTTTTCTAGTCAAAGAGAAACTCTACAGTGGAGCGTTGGTTACCTTAAGGAAGTAACTATGTCCCCTGTCTGTGACTGGCATCTTTCCAGGTAGTTCTGTAGGTCCCCAGAGGCAGTACATAGTAGTGGCCACAAACACACACTTTGAAGTCATTATGGCTTGTTGGGGACTGCGGACTCCCAAACCCTGAATTTCCTGTAAACAACTTATTTTCCTACCCTTGTAACTGCTCTGAGCAAAACAGCTTGTTTTCCTGTGTTTGCAGCTGCTCTGGGCACGAGACAGGAGTGGTTTCTGGTGGCTGCAGCTGAAAATCCTGAGAGCTAGGGTGTGGCCATTGTTCAAGGACACTATATAAGCTTCCCTGGAACACAATAAAGGGGCATTCTTTTTTTTTTTTTTTTCTTTTTTTTTGGTTTCTCGAGACAGGGTTTCTCTGAGGTTTTGGAGCCTGTCCTGGAACTAGCTCTTGTAGACCAGGCTGGTCTCGAACTCACAGAGATCCGCCTGCCTCTGCCTCCCGAGTGCTGGGATTAAAGGCATGTGCCACCACCGCCCGGCTAAAGGGGCATTCTTGATTCAAGTTGGCATTCTTCGCATTCTTGGGGAATTCAAGGATGACCCATGTCTCTGTCTCTGTGTGTCAGTTTCCAGGCACTTGCTTGGCTCGAGAACTGTCCCGTAGTACAGGCAATAAGCTACACATAGTAGCACGGGTGCTACAAGTGGAGGCCCCCAAGGAGCTTGCCTTACAATGGCTCAAGTTCAAATGTGGCCTTAAGCGTTTACAAGCTCAATGACCTTGGCAAATTTCTTAAACAATTTGATTCTTCATTTCTAGCCTAATTATAGGAAAATAATAGCCTCCACATAGATTAGTCAGACAAAATGAGATCATTCTAATGAAACTAGGAAACAGAAGGGATGAAATTATAATGTAATTATTATTCATAGGTATACAGTGGTACTATATAGCCAAGAAAGGAAATAACACATCTTTTCTGTTTAAAAGAAAGACATATTTAGAAAGATTCAATTGTACTGTGATCAAGAAGCAGAGACAAAAAATATTTACAACATTGTCTTGATTCATTCACTAAAATGTATTTACTGAATAGTTTCTTGATAGACATTGTGTTCAAGTGCTAAGAACACAGAAATGAGTAAGCCTGTTCTTAATGTCTCAGGGTCACTATTGCTGTGATGAAATGCCATGATCAAAACGACTTGGGGAGGAAAGGGTGTAACTGCACACAGAGAGGCCAGCTCCTAGATCTGCTCCAGGGTAGTAAAAAGAAGACTTCAGAGTAGTGATGGTATAGGAAAAAGTTCTTAACTATCTAAAAAGGTGTTTAGGTAAAAACAGGTTCACATGATCTGAAGATAACTTTCCTAATTAGCTCTACATCTTTCTCTTTGCTCTCTACACAGCTGCTGCCATTCTCTTGCCCAGACAAACTCTAGACAATTAAGTTACATTCTCAGGGCCCAACCTATCTCATAACCAGTGATAAGTCATGTAGTTTCTCTTAGGCTAGGAATGTCACATTGACCAGCCAGTGAGCAACACTTGGTCATGCACATGCCTCTTTCTCAGACAGAACCAAACCTTGAGTGGTAGGAAGTACGTGCACAAAGTCTCAGCTGCTAGACAAGTAGTTGTGTCTTTAACATTATTTGCTAGGCTTTTTTGCAAGCAAAAAAAAAAAAAACTGGCAAGAAGTTGTTTCATGCCTAACCTTGTATCAGCAAAACACCTGGGAAAATGACCTTGTGTCTATGTCTCTGGAGACAACAAGCTACTGGTCTCCAGGGGCAGCCAGCCTGCTTTGAATCTGTTCTAGAGTCTAAAATTAGCTGTCTGTGTGAAAGGCTGTCTTTGTGACTGAGAACCTATGCCAGTCTGAGAATGCAAAATATCCTAGTATTGTTTCTATTCATCAAAATTAAAAGATTAAGCAGAAATCATCTTCCTGACCATCCATAGCTATATGTGTGCCCAACAAGGATAAAACATACCATCAAGAGGCTGTATAAAGAACCCCACAGTTGTTCTTATTAGGGAGGCAAGTAATGGCACCTGAAAAAGTTATGGACAGGAACAATCAGTCATCTAGCCTCCAGTCAGTAACCCCATGACTTTGCCAAGTGGGGCTGGAATCATGCATCTGGAAGGTAGACCTCCTGAACACTAATTGTCACCTGCTGTATACCCCATGACCCTCTGAAGGGTTTATTTAGCTTATGCTTCTACATCACCATTCATCATCAAAGAAGTCAGGACAGGAACTCAAGCATGGCAGGAACCTGGAGCCAGGAGCTCATGCAGAGAATGGGTGATGCTTACTGGCTTTCTTGTAATGGCTCACTCAGCCTGCCTTCATATAGAACCCAGGGCTACCAGCCTCAGAATGGCACCATCCACAATGGGTTGAACCTCCCCCATCAATCACAAATTAAGAAAATGTCCCACAGTCTTGTCTATAGTTAGATTATATGGAGGTATTTTTTTCAACTGAGGCTCCCTCCTCTCTGATGGCTGTAGCTTGTGTCATGTTGACAGAAAACTAGCCAACACACTAAAATTAATTTAAGCAGCTGAGAATATAAAATCATTTTCCTACTCTTAAGATATAAAGACGGTTTAGATAGCTCTATTTTTATAGATCATGAAATCAGAAAAGATTAAAGAAAGGCTCTATAAACACACATTATAATTTTACACAGTTGAAGGGTCAGGACCCAAATCTGTCTGCTCAGTGTTATATATCCCAAGGCACAGGACAGACGCCCATGGTACATTACAGAACTCACGTCTTCTCAGCCAGTGAACAGAACAAAAAGGACATTTTGTATCTTAGTGGTAGGGAAATCCTTTCTCACCTGCTAAGAGTTTCACTAGACTTGCTCCCTTCAGTGGATTCCCTCAAGGAGTTGTTACTTCTGTTGGTAGAAGAACAGGAAAAATAAAAAATACAATATGATAAAGCTGGGCATAGTGGTCCAGGCTTCTAACCCCAGAACTCAGAAGACAGAGGCACGCAGTTTTCTATGAATTCCAGGCCAGCCTGCTGTATGGAGAACAGTCAAGGATACATAGAGAGACTCCATCTTAGAAAAACAAAACAAAGATACATTATTTTCTTATTCATATAATAAAAATCTGTGAGGGAAGTTGCCTATTCTTTAGTGGAGGAAATTGAACTCAGGGCTGTGTGCAAGAACAAGCTATACCCTAAGTTCAATTTATTCTTAAACTGGTAGCTAGCTTTATGAAACACATTTTCATTTAAGCACTATTTTGGGGCAGTTACAGACTCAAAAGTTTGATGTTGAAACGTTGGCTTTTTTGGGTAGAAAAATGTAGAGATGATCAACAAGAAAAGGACAAGCCCAATAACCTGAGTCAGATCCCTGGAGCCCACATGGTGGAAGGAGAGAGTGGACTCCTGCAAACTGTCCTGTGGCATGCACACACACGCAAGTGCATGCGTGCATACACATACAACCCACAAATAAATATATATAGGGAAAATATTTTAAAAGGGGGAAGTGAACCATTGGGAATTGAGAGTAATAAGTTAGGGACTAAAGACAGCTTACTGCTTGCCTGTCAGGTACAAAGCTTTGGGTTTGATCCCGAGTACCACGTAAACTGGGAACGTGGCCCCTGCCTGTAATCCTAGCAATCAAGCAGTGGAGGCAGGAGAACCAGGACTTCAAGGTCACCCATTCCTGGCTGTACACAAGGTTCTGCC